CAATGATATTTCTTCAACAATTGGATTAGATAGCCTATTGGGGCCTTTTTTTTAAGGAAAACCCACATAGTGATAAGTTTTTTAACTACTCCTAAGCATATTAAATGCATGTAGTCTAACGGAACACACTTAACTAAGTCAATTTTTGGCAAACGAGTCAATATTGAGATGCCATTGTGGTATTCTTTCTGTTCTTGATCTACAAAACTAGTGTGTGTTCTTAGTTGGCAGTCAAAATTTGGAAAATAAAGCCGGTTATCTTTGGTTTCTCCCTTCTGAACGCATCGTTTACAAGAAAAATATCCTGAATGACCCTTGGTTTTTAAAACAAAGGATTTAGCAGGCGCATCACGAATTATTCCAATAATCTGCAAATGCAAGTATTTGCCACTTTCCTCATGATAAACCCCTGAATCAATTAAAGCCTCAGCTTCTTCAACAAAATCTTTTAGATAGTCATTAGAGCACTTGGGTTTTTCAAACCCGTGGTAAACACCAACAGGATAGACCTGAGACTGTTCAAAACCTGGCAAATTGACATTGAATCTGCATAAAATAGGCCAAACTTGGCTGTTGGAACTCTTTGAAACAGACAAACCGTCTATTCCAACAAACACATCAATATATTCCGGTACTGATTTCCCTAGAGTTTGAATGAATAAATCAACAGCAAAACGCAAACCAAAATGATAGTATTCTCCTGGCTCCACCTTTCTAATGTTTGTACAACGTGGCGTTTTCAACAAAGTTCTACTATCTTTTGGCAAATGGGAATACCCAGATTCACTCCTTATAATACCTAAAAGTGAATTAATTGAATTGTGATTTATCTGGCATTTAACTGCCCAATCTGCAAGTTTATTTACAAAAACATTGCTACAACTACTACTAGTGACTGGATCGTCACAATTAGATGAAGAATCTGAATTGTTTGGTAGAGATTCGTTTAACTGTTCACTTCCACTTTCAAAAGAATCATCTAAAATAAAACATAAATCATCATCCCGACAACTTTCTAGGTCTGGTGGTATTTTTCTCTCAATGACGGATAGATTTATTTCATTAGAGTCTGTTGAGAGAGGTAACATCTCAGATGAGGGCTCGGTTGGGAAATTAATATTTGAAACATTATTACTAACAATCTCATTTTCACTGCTTTGACTACAACTCTGAGATTCATTGAGACACCTACAGGTTTCCTTTCTAACTAAGCGATTAAAATGTCTGGATGAAATATGCTGACGTTGCTTAACATTAACTTTAGGCATTTTAAAATACAAAGATAAAATGTTCCCTTAGCCTATAACAAAATACTCTTGATATGATTCTTAAAAATAGACGACATACAATTGCGTTGAGCTTTTAGCCATCGATAGATATCTTCAGTCTGCAATTTCTAAGGCTGTGTCCTTGCTGAAAAAGAATGTAAATATGAGATTGAGTGCAAAAAATAACATGAATGATTATTGTTAGTCATTGCATATAGTTTCTAGTGTTTAAAACTATACTACGTTTCGATAGGTAAGAAAATTCATTCCGTTTTCAAGTGGCGGCTACCTTATTTACGTACATTTATTATTACTTTAAAAAAATTAAAATAATAATAATAATAAATGCACAAATAATAACTGTGTAATAATAATGAATGTAGGTTAAGTAGTGCCACTTGAAAACAGATGGACTTCTTTTTGCCCTCTTTTACACCGACGCAAAACAAAACGAAGCTGTTTAGGCTATATGGGAGCTTTCACATCAGTGCGGGTTCACCCGGACAGACCTAAACCTCTGTCATGGTTGAAAATCACCCGCACGAACCTAAACTTCCAATGCGTGACGGGACCGGATGGCTAGTTTATAGATCATGGGCTCTTGTGTACGCTTTCACAATTGTGCAGAACAGGATGGATTCGCCCGCACATTAATCAGTAATTTTAACAGTTTGCGTCTATCAGTGATTGAGTGTAATTCATTTATTCGGGCAGCTAGTATGAAAGGGCCTTCCGGGTCTTCCCGCATCAACGGTGCAGGGCGATGCCGCACCACATTGTTGTGAAAGAAGTCTTAACTTCCCAAACCTAGTGTAGTTTTAACATTAGAATCGATAGGTAAGGTCTAACAATAATAACTAATAAGAAATCCACATTATTCATTATGAATTTTAAAGGCACAATACAACAAAAATCATTTAATTAGGCTACCAAAATGATGTAGGTATTTTTTCTTCATAAAAAATAATAGTTTAATAGAGCCTACTGCACGTATATACCTAGTGAAGAAAATACAAAGCTAAATACACAAAAATATTGCTATTACAATTGCCTTAGGTTAAAAAATAAACCTTTCTTTGGACCGACTAATACAAATTTCATTTCAGCCTTTTGAAGCATTTCAATAAAAACTCAAATATTACCAAACTGTGTTATACCGTACCAAGAGTGGTCACCTAATGCTAATAGTTACCGATTTTGGCGACGTAGTTTGGCCCGTTAACGCTTGGATCGCGGTTGTGCAATGCACTTCTGAACACTTTTTAATAATTTAGTATTAAAATTCATTATAAAACAACAATACTATTACGAAAGAAACAAATTTCATCAACAAAACACCATTTTATAACTCCTACAATGAGCACAATATTAAAAAACTAAGGACACTGCCTTACCGACATGCCTGAAATGGCGTAGTTCGAGCCGCCGATGCTACTCTGCAACAGCGCTGTTCAGGTAACGATAACCTCCATTGAGTGACCACTTTAGTACGTGTATAATCAATAAACATACTATATACCGAAATTAAACCTACCTTTTCTTATTCTGAAAGCGAAACTTTGCATGCCTCAGCCAGTCTTTTATCACACTCTCAATCTCGCTATCCGTGGCCTCTCGTGAGTTTTTGCATTGTCTTACTGATTCTGTAAAAAGACATAACAAGGTGGTCATTCTGTTATGTTCTGTACATGTTATGCACAATGTTATTATGATTTGTTAATCAGTATGTTCCAACCATTATTTACCTCAGCCTCCGGCCTTGGCAGCAAGCTTCGCTATGTTCGGCAGATAGCCTCAGCAATATATTTGGCTACTTCCACCTCTGAATTTTTATAATTTTAATGAATAGGCCTATGTGTTATGGTCTGAGTCAAGTTTGAGTTAAGACTATATGTATGACACTGTTAATTCTACAATTAACTATGCTTCTTTTATTTAAAGATTCGTTGCAGGGTTCCAAGAATTTTTTATTTAGGTACTGTGATTAGCAATTCGGAAGTTTTTGCTTGTTGGAGTGAATAATCATATAACATTGTGGGCTAGGAGAGTGTGCAGAAGTAGGGACCGACACAAATTAGAAGTGTGTATAACGTTCAATACAATGTTACAGGTTAAATCTGACAACTTTAAAAGTTGTACCAGTGAGATTTCAGTAGGTCCAGTTTCATAGACACTGTACTCGAGATGAATGTTGATAGCTATAAAGCAACTGCAATTTCCTGCTCTTACGGTATTAAATGTATATATATTATATAAAATTAAATCTCCAATATAAAACTGAGTATAGTGTAATCACACTGTACTGTACAGAGGTACAGCAAACACCTGTATTTGAAATGGTGTGCTGCCACTTTAGTTAAGGCAATCTAATTTCTGTAAATATTATTCAAAAGATTTTGTTTCTCATGTGGAAGTAGATTAAATTGTGATGTAATGTCAACTTCAATCAAATGTATATTATAAATGTATAGGCCTAAATTAATTTTTTTTAATTGAGATTGTGATCCATCATATTGAAAGATTAATTGGTAGTACTTAAAAAGCAAAAGTACGTTAATAGGCCTACGTTGTACAAATCAGACCCACCTTGATATCTCTTTTCTGGGCATACTTCTTTTTATTGACTACATTCAAGTCTTTCCCTTGATGGCAAGAGAATGTTCGTGAACTAAAGTACAAATAAGGTATATCATCTTACCAATAAACTCTTTGATTCTTGACAGGACTAACTGAAAAAAAAATAACAAATTAAATCAACATTTTCCTTCATAAGACCATTAAACTCTTTTCACTTCCTATGGTCTCTATTGACACCTAACATTGACATACAATTTTATATGCAAGTTTCTGTTCAAAAATAAATTTTGCCAGGAGTTGATTATAATGCAATGCTAAGGTTATAATTGTTAGAAATTTTATGGTGGAACCAGAAATAACTATTTCAACCCATGACTGTTTGTTTTAGTTTTTTTATTTGTATTTAAAACTATACTGCTATCAAAATTCATACAATATAATATAGGCTGGATGCTGTTTATGTTATTTATTGGCTGAATAAAGTATCTTTTACTTCTCATATAATTTGGTAGAAAAATATGATAGGCTCATGCTGAAGCATGCAGTTACCCACATACAGTTTAGAATACATTTAATTAATTTTAAAAAGCTACAGGTCTAAATCACATAGGTTCACAGCCAGATTAATAACCTGCCTAGGAAAAAGTCTAAATTGGCTAATATGTTCGGCAAACCCTACTACAAAGACCACCTCATCTGAGGCTAATTAGTGTTTTTGAATTGACCGGCTACAATTCCATTAACATTTAACCTTTTATTAGTTTAAAATTGTTTCTATTTAACCAAATTCAAATTAAGTTATATATTCAAGGAAGTATTTATGTATATTAGGGCACTTAGAAAAATGTAGGCCTACTGAGTATTTCATTAACACTCATTTTAATTTTAATCATCAACTTTTAACAGAGCTGTACTGCGAAAGTTATTTGTAAATAAAGTTGATACGAGTTGTACTTAGCATCAATGATTTTAAACGTATGGTTGAGCTACTATACAAAATCAATGCTAGCTTTGATTTTTTCCCGCATTAAAAACAAAGAGCAATTTCAGTAAGCCTAACTAATCTGTGCCTACCATTGGTTGCAAAGAAATGCCAGACCTTAAGTTTAGAGGAATTAAACCCATTCACTTCTTCAAGTCCTTTCAAGTATTTTGTTCTACACGAGTAACGGGACTGGTCCCTAATTGTGTTACATAACAGGAAACGTTGTTGCAGGCAAGTTAATTTATAGGGAAAAAAAGTAATGATTGGAAGAGTTGATCTTTAAATGTGGTTCTTTTTTCACCTTTATAGTTTAACAGTAAGTATTAAGCCTACATTTCACATAGAAATTTATTTCACTATGAAAGCGTTGATTTCCATAAAAAAAATAAGAAAAACTATAATAGGCCTAGGCCTACTCAAAATTAATATTTTTGTAACTTGAGTAATTTATTAAAATATAACCTACTCAGGGCCAAATTCTAACAAAAACAACTAGGCTGACAATTTAACCTAAAGGCCTATGCAGAGAATGATTCTCTATCCAGGCCTCCCAATACTGTTTATTGCTCTTACTTTGTTATCGGAGAGACTCCGGATTTGCTCTCTCAAATATCGTAGCCTAGGCCTATTGGGATTTTAGGAAGATAGGGTTGCATCGTGCCTAATTTTTCATGGGGTTTCCCCTATCTCCCTGTTATATTGGCACTTTTTCGGTGAAATTATGTTCCTACATGAAAAATACTTGTATAGCCTATACTGGCTCAGCATGAAAAAGTGAGAAGGTTAAAGAAAGAGACATTCAAAGACCAACTTTGGGTTTATTAGTAAAAATCTACTTTTGATTCCCAAAAAACTGAATTCCCTGGCTAAACACCTTACTTCTAACTTTTTACTTTTTTAAAATCTAACTTAAGTTTTCCACACAATTTCCTAGGCTAGCAGATTCGTATCCAACATCAAAGCGTTTTGAATACAAAGTTCCTATTTATTTGTTTTAGTACATACTGTGCATGAGGGGCCTACACAATGTAATGAATTATCAACATGGCTGGCGTCTATCCTATTTTTTAACCATTATTTTACCTTTTTCATAACGATCTTAATGCAAGTTAGGCTTCTTTCTCATCTTTTAAAATTTGGCATGAATAAGAAATATATATTCTTACCTTCTAAGTTATAACATAACTGAAGCAGATACATTTTATCGGCTCAATCCTGACTTACAAATCTTCTGGCTCCATTTAAAAAGTAGTAGGTTTATTGAAAATAATCAGAACGAGTCTATTAACATGGTCACCGGGCACAGCAAAGTGAATAAGTGACGATGTAAAGCCGTGTCCCTTCGGCCTTCGATAATCGATTGCATAAACCATCACGATTCCGATAGCTGAAAAGTAGTCGATAGTCATGTGACGTCATTATAAGGTTTCTGTACATGTGAAGAAGTGGCCTCCAAGAGAATAGCAGCAGACGGAGGGGGGGGGGGGTTCACGACGATGGATATGGTAGGCATACGGTTAAATATTGACGGGTAGATATCGTAACTTATCGAATACTCAATATATCGAGTATCCGGTTAGTTAGGTTAGGTTAGGCTTAACTAACGAAACTTATCGATATATTGATCGATATTTTCATTCGGTTGTTTGTGCCAACAGATACGGAAGTCTACCCAAATGCTCCAGTCAAGTTTCAAGTTAAACTACTTTTTTTAATTTGCCAAAAAACAAATTCCAGTCTTACGTAAAATGTATTTAAATAAATTTAACTTCATATTATGCAAGTAATTGTATTATCATTCGGTGGTAAAAAACCATTTTCCAAATAAATGTTGCTGTTTTGACCAATACAATTTTATATCATAGACGAAGACGATCATAGTCATAGTGAAGGTAAATAAAGGCTACATGCAAAGAGTAACTTAGTTTACTTGTATACACTATACAGCTAACACAGAGTATAGAATAAATCGATCTGATATTTATTTAGAATATTTATTTTAGGATATTTATTCTATGATCTGTGGCAGCATATTATATGAACATATATTTTCCCCAGAACATAGACTGAGTGAAATAAAACAACAGTTTTTTGGTCATATAATAATATAATAATCCAGCAATAATGGTATACATGGTAACATCTATAAAACGGTATTTAGATTATCCATGTTGGACATCCCTAAAATATCCAAAAATATCTGTAGGTTATTATTAAGATGTTATAACATAATATACAGGGTGACAAAAAAGTCTGGAAACGGTTTAATATCTTTTTAACTAAATTCGTTAGAAAATTCAAACCTTTCACATCAACTTACATGTATGAAAACTACTTTTTGCAAGCATTGCCATTATTTGACCTCCCCCAGGGGACGGCCCACGAGAAGTAGGTACATAATCTTTAATGTAAGCATAGGTTGATATGCACATCATTTTAAAGGTCTGATCAAGTGGAGTTCATTGCCGGAAACCGCGTCAAAAAAGGTTCATCCGTTACAAAATGGCGGCAGTTCAAAGTTCTTGCGGAATATGCCTGCAGAGGCCTTAGTATTGGTAAATACTCATAGTCAACATTAGCAGGGAAATCTGAAACCCGGTTAAATTTGTTTTGAAGATTGAATACTATTAGTCTATGGGCTAGTTGACTTTAAAATATGGGTTAAGCTTTTAAGCTAATATTTTTTACGAGTATTTGCCCATACTAAGTAAGGCCTGTGCAGGTATATTTCAGAAGAACTTTGGACAGCTGCCATTTTGTAACGGATGAACCTTTTTTGACGCGGTTTCAGGCAATGAACTCCACTTGACTAACCCTTTGAAATGGTGTGCATATCAACCTATGCTTACATTAAAGATTATGCATCTACTCCTCATGGGTCGTCCCCTGGTAGAGGTAAAAAAATGACAACGCTTGGAAAAAGTAGTTTTTATACATGTAAGTTGATGTGAAAAGTTTGAATTTTCTAACGGATTTAGATAAAAAGATATTAAACCGTTTCCAGACTTTTTTGTCACCCTGTATATGTAAGGTTTGCCATCTAACATCTTAATAACATTCAAATATCTCCAATAACGTTATCTGGATATGTGTAACCTAATATAAACATTACATAGATATCGTGTGCTGTCTGGGATAGGTAGAGGTTTTTTGCAGACTTGCTTCCTTTTGTTTGTGCTAGACACCACTTTGGTTTCAAACTGTTGACATGTGCAGCACGGATCGTTTGTCACCTGTAGTAAAGCGATTATTTAGTTTGAAGTATAACAGAAGATATTTTAGTTCATTTATACAATAGCCTACAATAATAGCCAAGTCTGGACTTTGAACCTTCAACCCCCATCCCCACTCTGGAGATAGTGCGTGTCGGCCTTAAGCATAGTTTTATTCTTTATTGAGTACGTGTATAATATTGGTGACGAGGACGGTCGCATCCACGCGAAATTAATAAAACGTTATAATAAGTGGAACAGTTGATTGAAACTTTGGTGGATTTTGGAAAATTTGTGTCTCATCGTGCGTCCGTGCCGTGTGCAACAGGCTCGCCCAGTTTCCAGTGTGCCGTGTGCAACAAGCACATTGTCTTCTAACCGTTGGATTTGAACGAACAGTGCCGTGTGGAAACTTGAAAGCTTGAAAGGGATGGAAAGTTTTTAAGAACCAAGAAACGGAGTTGTTTGATACGGAACTATAAGTTTGATAATTATATGTCTTGAAATGTAAGGTATTTTATCTTAATTAGTAGGCCAAACAGCCTACTAATTTATCTAAGTATGGCCAAACAGATGATTGGAAAAGTAAGTGAGTTTGATAGTGAAGTAGAGAACTTTGAAAATTATGCAGAGAGGTTACAACATTTTTTTCTCAATTAACGCAATTAAAGATGAGAACAAAGTTTCATTTTTTGTTTCCATTATGGGACCAAATGTGTACTCAACTCTTAAGGATTTGTTACATCCCAAGAAGATTTCAGATAGTAGTTATAATGTTATCATTGACACATTGAAGACGCTTTTTGTCCCTAAGAGTAATATTGCATATGAAAGGTTTGTCTTTAACAAACGTCCACAAAAAGAAGTTTTCGGGTGATTTATACCTCGTGACATTAAACATAACAGTTTTGTCCAAAACTAAAGAATTTCCTCTTGTACTTTCTGACAGTTCGGTGTCGAGCAAAATTCGTTTAACTGTTCCCATAAATTCCTTGCACGTTGCGTTATTGTTGTTCCCACTTCTAGATCTGATATAGTCTTTCTATGTGGTCTTGGCTAACCTGATAAAGGAGTAGGTATTTCAAAGGAAAATCAGTCGATCCATCGCCCACAAACTGATTATAAAGACTGATTATTTATGGCACTATCTATGCGTATTAAAAATCCTAAAAACCGTATTTTTCTCTTGGATTGATTTTCCAAAATTATCCTTTAGAGTTTCAATATATTCATTACACTGATTTAGTTTTGTTTGTTGTTCAGCAAGGCTCTCTTATCATAACTTTCTCTCATACTTTTAGAAATGAGAATATCAAACAGACTGTTAAATATCTTAACAAACTCAATTGTAGGGCCACAATTATTAAAAATTTCTATTTTATTACATAAAAATTGAAGTGATTCAGAAACGGAAGCACTCAAAACCTGAGTGGCTAGTCACACTTTTATTTTTTTCTGCTGTAATTAATATGGTCATACTCAGCCTGTTACCTAGATGCAATCCTTCAGTTTTGTATGGTATGTAAAACTGTTCAATGTATCTCCACTCTACAACTTCGCCTCTGGAATCCATAAAATTTTTGTAATCTCCTAATGTATTTCTGACTAACTTTATCATGTGAGCACCCCGCTCACATGATCCTACAAATAAATGAATTGGTTTATTGGAGATCGGATGAGGGAAATTCGTAACTGAGTTTGGGGCTTCCAAGGAACATCCTAATTTGGTAGCCATAGACAAATTACAAGCTGTTCCATCACAAGTCAATGATGCTACTTCAACGCCTGAATCGTGTAGAAGTGAAATGCATTGTTTAACAAATGAGCTTTGTTGGTCACCACTAATGACAGTGACAAAAAAAATAGCCGACTGGGATTTTCCAACTAGAATTAATGAATACTAAATAAAATACTAAAGCTTCTAAAGCTAAAGCAGTTGAGTCGTCATCAAGCGTTCAACCTATATTAACCGTTCCATAAAATTGTTTTCCATCCCAAGATTATTTATTTTTAGCCACGCAATCCATCATTAATGAGGCAATTGGTGGATGCTTAGAATTACTTGAATATTCTTTTAGTGCTCTTAACACTTCTTGGGAAAATC